GTAAACTTGGAACTTCCCCGTAGAAGTGGTTCAATCTTAATTTTGGAGCTTTCGTGACTGCAGGAATTATTCTTTGGTTTTTTCGGTAAAGTCACGTATAAAAATAAAATAATAAATAAAATAAAATAATAAATTAAATTAAGATTGAACCACTTCTACGGGGAAGTTCCAAGTTTACCTTTTTCTCTCTCTCTGGGTTTCTTGTTCTCTCTGCCTGTATATTTAGTGTAATTTTCTCTGTCTACACTCGTTTTGTATCGTTCTTAGGTTCTGCTCTGTCTGTGTGTCTCCGTTCCTCTTTTTTTATGTTTTGTCTTTCTTTGGAATTTTCACACTTAAATTCTAACTTAGCAATCTTTGAAATACGTAATCGACCAGGCAATGCGTTAATTGTGTGTTGACCGACTCTCTGTGTCGTTTTACATAACATTTCGATACTTTGCTAGGTTATTTAATTTAGTGTGTTCTGTCTCCCTCTAAGCCTGCTTACCTTACTCCCCTCCCTTCGTACTCATTGACATGTAAATGTTTTCCCTACCCCCTCCCTCTCTCTGCCTCCGCCCCCCTCTGTCTATTTAAGGCCACCCCACAAAGACGATCACCTCTCTCTGTACCTGGGTTGCTCTCTCTATGTATCTTGGTGATATCTGTCTGCTTATATGTCTGTCTATAGTTTTCTGGTTATATTCTATGTCGCTATTTCATTATACCTGATGATGATTGCTTGTGTTGCAATCGAAACGTCGTATGCTATTATTTAATTTATTATTTTATTTTTATACGTGACTTTACCGAAAAAACCAAAGAATAATTCCTGCAGTCACGAAAGCTCCAAAATTAAGATTCTCTCGCTTAGTTTAGCGACCTGTGGAAGAACGCGATCAGCCAGGCGATGCGTTAGTTGTGTGTTGACCGACTCTCTGTGTTGCGTTGCATTTCTAAATTTGACTAAGTTTGATTAAGTGTCTCTCTCTGTGTGCAGTCACCAAACCTCCAAATCTCTCATTGACACAAGGCCGTAGTTATAATATGGTATAATAAGTATAATATTATGTTATAATTCTAATATGTTATAATAATTAAAATACTCAAATATGCCCCTCCAATATATTGCTGTAAAAATCTTTAAAAATAATAATTGCGATGCTCTGTTAATAAAAATAACAATTTGCTAAACCTTGGCCGCAAAATCTGGACTTGTCTTCATATAACAATGCATAGATTTCTGTTTATATGATTGCGTTGTACTTTATGAATCGCTAATCTCTGCCATTACATACTATGAAACAAGGAAAGGTAAAAAAGAAAAAACAGAGCAATGTAATACAATACACTATTAGACATTATTGTATCAAATAATAATTCCATCCCATGTGTTAGTGAACTTTTACAAATATTTTTGGGAGGAAATGGCAGGAAATGAGTTTTCAAATTTAGATATTTTTCTGGGGGGGGACCCCAGACCCCCTGCAAGATTTGGTCCCCCCCAATTTTGACTCCATGGCTACGGCCTTGCATTGACGTGCTAATTTCTCTACCCCCCCCCTCTCTCTACCCCCCCCTCTCTCTGCCCCTCTCTCTATTGAAGGCCTCGACACAGCGTTGTTTCTCTGTGTGCTTGTGTGTCTCTCTCTGTGTGTCTCTGTGTCATCTCTCTGTGTCTATGTGTGTGTGTCTCTCTCTGTGTGTCTGTGTCATCTCTCTGTCTACAGTGAGGGAAAAGAGTATTTGATCCCCTGCTGATTTTGTACGTTTGCCCACTGACAAAGAAATTATCAGTCTATAATTTTAATGGTAGGTTTATTTTAACAGTGAGAGACAGATTAACAACAACAAAAATCCAGAAAAACGCATGTCAAAATGTTATAAATTGATTTGCATTTTAATGAGGGATATAAGTACTTGACCCCTCTGCAAAACATGACTTAGTACTTGGTGGCAAAACCCTTGTTGGCAATCACAGAGTTCAGACGTTTCTTGTAGTTGGCCACCAGGTTTGCACACATTTCAGGAGGGATTTTGTCCCACTCCTCTTTGCAGATCTTCTCCAAGTCATTAAGGTTTCGAGGCTGACATTTGGCAACTCGAACCTTCAGCTCCCTCCACAAATTTTCTATGGGATTAAGGTCTGGAGACTGGCTAGGCCACTCCAGGACCTTAATGTGCTTCTTCTTGAGCCACTCATTTGTTGCCTTGGCCGTGTGTTTTGGGTCATTGTCATGCTGGAATACCCATCCACGACCTATTTTCAATGCCCTGGCTGAGGGAAGGAGGTTCTCACCCAAGATTTGACAGTACATGGCCCCGTCCATCGTACCTTTGATGCGGTGAAGTTGTCCTGTCCCTTTAGCAGAAAAACACCCCCAAAGCATAATGTTTCCACCTCCATGTTTGACGGTGGGGATGGTGTTCTTGGGGCCAAACACGGCGAGTTGAGTTGATGCCAAAGAGCTCCATTTTGGTCTCATCTGACCACAACACTTTCACCCAGTTGTCCTCTGAATCATTCAGATGTTCATTGGCAAACTTCACATGGGCATGTAAATGTGCTTTCTTGAGCAGGGGGACCTTGCGGGCGCTGCAGAATTTCAGTCCTTCACGGCGTAGTGTGTTACCAACTGTTTTCTTGGTGACTATAGTCTCAGCTGCCTTGAGATCATTGACAAAATCCTCCCGTGTAGTTCTGGGCTGATTCCTCACCGTTCTCATGATCATTGCAACTCCACGAGGTGAGATCTTGCATGGAGCCCCAGGCCGAGTGAGATTGACAGTTATTTTGTGTTTCTTCCATTTGCGAATAATCGCACCAACTGTTGTCACCTTATCGCCAAGCTGCTTGGCGATGGTCTTGTAGCCCATTCCAGCCTTGTGCAGGTCTACAATCTTGTCCCTAACATCCTTGGAGAGCTCTTTGGTCTTGGCCATGGTGGAGAGTTTGGAATATGATTGATTGATTGCTTCTGTGAACAAGTGTCTTTTATACAGGTAACAAGCTGATATTAGGAGCACTCCCTTTAAGAGTGTGCTCCTAATCTCAGCTCGTTACCTGTATAAAAAACACCTGGGAGCCAGAAATCATTCTGATTGAGAGGGGGTCAAATACTTATTTCCCTCATTAAAATGCAAATCAATTTATACCATTTTTGACATACCATTAAAATTTTAGACTGATCATTTCTTTGTCAGTGGGCAAACGTACAAAATCAGCACTGTATGTGTGTGTCTCTCTTTGTGTGTCTCTGTGTCATCTCTCTCTGTGTGTCTATGTGTGTGTCTCTCTCTCTGTGTGTCTTTGTGTCATCTCTCTCTGCTTATGTGTCTATGTGTCTCCGTGTCTGTGTTTTGTCTCTCTCTCAAATTGAGCAATCTTTGGAAGAACGTTATCAACCAGTTGGGGTGTTGACTGTTATGTTAGCTGACTCTCTGTGTTGTATTGCATTACATTTCTAAGTTTACTAGGTTTTTTTTCTCTTTCATTTGTACCTGATGATGATTGCTTATGTTGCAATCGAAACGTCGTATGCTATTTGCACACAACGTTGGTTTTAGGTGCTTTTTGTGGAATATTTTGCTGTTTTTCCCTGGATTTTCATGTTTGCACAGTCACATAGTCACTTTAAGATGTTTTCTCGTTCATGTTTTTGTTTTTTGCGGTTGCATCCGATTCAAGAGCCGAATGGCTCACGGGGCTATACCAAATAAATGAAACTGAAACTATTATGTAATTTATTTATTTATTCTACGTGACTTTACCGAAAGAACCAAAGGGTATCTTGCTTAAGTTTTCATTTCTCTTCACCTGGCTCGCTACTTTGTAACTTTGTTTTAGTTGAAATATTCACACTTTTTTTTTCATTTTTTACCAGGCCACGCCTGCTTGAGCTGCTGTACCGCTCTTGTTTTCAGAAGCGACCTGCCCACAACAACAACAACAAGGTGAGGCTTGTCAACAGCGTGGCGGTGTTCACTCTAGACGCGTGGCGGTGTTCACTCTGGACGCGTGGCGGTGTTCACTCTGGACGCGTGGCGGTATTCACTCTGGACACGTGGCGTTGTTCACTCTCTGCATGTGGAGTGGGGACAACCGGGGGATCCGGAAGGAAATCCACGTGACCACGGGAAGAGAGAAAGACACACAAACTAAATATACAGCAGGCATCATGGTTGGGATGAATCCACGACTTCCTGTATGCCAGGAGAGGTAGTTAACATCCCACCACGGGGAGCAAGAGAGACACGCAGCCTCGGCGATGTTGATTAATCCTCATTGAATTACTTGTGGAGTCAGGAAGCATTAATAGTGAGTGGATGAAGGTGGCTAGGCATGGGTCTAGACACACCTCTTAACCATGCCAGTGTGTGACAGTGTAAAGTTTGTGTTTGCAGTTAAGTCTATTAACTCTATTGAACACGGAGGTTATGCTGTATCACAACAATAGTTTGTTTTTGTTTTCCTCTGGAACTTTATAAGAATGGAAACAGTCAAGAAGTTAACACCGCACACACATGCAGCTGAAGTCAGATCTGTTCATTCCAGCGTGCAAGGACATCGTGAGCCTGGCTGGCTTCACACCTCTAAGTTGCGATTGAACATTAATTTATGCATTTTTGCATAACACAAATAGTATTATTTTCAACACCTTTTGCTATGTCTGCTAAATTTAGCTTTCATAAATATTCCTTTTGTAGCTAGACAGCCTAAAATTGTGTGCTCGGAGTTTTGGGTTAACATTCATTTTGAAGATACGAGGGCTTCCAGGCATGTTTATGATCATTCACCCTCTCATTGCGTGCCAGAACAGCCCATGTGATGAATTTGGGAAACTTTTTCACTATATCATGAATATATGAATAAGTGTCGACTTATAAGTCATGTGTTACTGTGTAAATATGCATTCCTATGTGCATTGATACTGACGTGGATATAACTTTTTTTCTGTCTGCAGCTGTCGCTTCCTCTGTCGAATTTGTCTGATGGAGCAAAGGCACTCGGCGCGGCTCGGTGCAAAAAGGCATCAATGCGACCAGTGTGCATACAGCACGGATTATATTACACATTTGACACAGCACCAGAGAACTCACACAGGAGAGAAACCCTTCAAGTGCAGTGTGTGTGGGAAGGCGTTTTCAGATTCATCTACTCGTGTAATACACCAGAGAACACACACGGGAGAGAAACCCTTCAAGTGCAGAGTGTGTGGGAAGGCGTTTGCATGTTCATCTAATCTTGTAAAACACCAGAGAATGCACACGGGAGAGAAACCCTTCAAGTGCAGAGTGTGTGGGAAGGCGTTTGCAGAGTCATCTACTCTTGTAATACACCAGAGAACACACACGGGAGAGAAACACTTCAAGTGCAGTGTGTGTGGGAGGGAGTTTGCACGTTCATCTACTCTTGTAATACACCAGAGAACACACACGGGAGAGAAACCCTTCAGGTGCACTCTGTGCGGGATGGCATTTGCACGTAAACAAAATCTTCAAAGACACCAGAGAACACACAAGCATCAGAAGATCCACAAGGAGTGGAGTCTGAAATCAGCTTGCGAAAGTCAAAGTGCCGCAATGAGCCCATCCCTCATCAAACAAGAACCGGAAGACAATTTCGGCTTGGACGATTTTAAAGGTATCGAGGTGAAACATGAAGAGGTGCAGGTGAAATGTGAAGAAGTGATGGTGAAGAGCGAAGAAGTGAAAGTAAAATGTGAATATGAAGATTCAACTCCAAAATCGGACCTTCACATCGATGGAGGCAACGTGAAGCAGGAGGAGAATTCTGACTGAGGCAGAGCGAGGCAACTCCCAGCAGTTTGTGGAAGTGGAGGTGTGGGTGGACTTCCTCCGAGAAAATACAAAGTCAAATGGAGACCCGGTAGATGCGTAAGCTTGAGACGATGTCGCTCCAATCGATGCACCTTTGTCACATGCCTTTAATGACAAGAATGTGAAGTTGAACACTCAGTTCCTAGGTTCAACCTGCAGGGTAAGAGCAGCCAGTTCTTGTAAACCTGTGTGTTGGGTAGATCTCTAACCAGGAGCGGTTAGAAACATTGGGTCAAACATTGAATAAGTCATGTTAGGACACAGTGTGTGTTTTGAAGTAACTTGTACAGGATCACTCAGGTGAGACTCCTTCGTGTGATACAGGTCAAAGGGTATTTTTGTGTTTTCAGGACGCATCTCCCTCTGGAGCAACTCATTGTCTTTCAAATAGGGAGCACACTTGGATAATTCATCTGTTACAAGGAATACCACTCAAAAGTTACACGTAGAGGAGATACATTCTCTACAACACGAATTATAATTTTGTATTACGTGTTGACGTAGATTTTGTCGAATTAGGACGAGAAATGGTCCTTGCCGATTAAAGTCTGGATGTTCACAACCATGGGTTGAAGCAAGCCTGACCGCCTGCGGTGCCCCTCACAACCATTTACGGCCTTGGGCCAGGAAAGTCACAAAAAAAATAGCACACGAACGACGCATCCGCGCAAGCACCCGATGCTCCGTTTTGAAGTTTGAAAATGAAACAACTTTGAATTATTCATTGAAAACGACATTTCGTGTGAATTTTATCTCGTCGTTAAGTAGATGGCCTTGCCGGGGATTTCATTCGATGCGGACTTTCACCTGGTTGGGATCGCGGGATTGAGATGAGGCGACACAGAGCTGGCCGTGCGAGAAGACCGCCGTCTGCAGATCAATTCCAACGTGATCGAACGTCTGTCCCTGCGCCTCCGTCGTTCATGCAGGGGGCGCGTAGGTTTACAGCGCCCCCTGCATGAAAACGACAGAAAGTGCAGCGTTCATCACAGTTAAAGTAGTGTGCTTATATAAATTCATTTTTTGTCTGTCTGTGTGTTCACGCGCTTGCGAGGGATTTGTCTCTCTAACAGTGGGGTTTACGAAAAAAATTTTCCCGGTACCACGCCGGAAGCCCTGCGGTTGGCAAGCACTATTCGTTGTTCACATCCGTCACCATTAAATTAGTTTAATTAGCGATTTTGTGCGATATTTCTTTATTTATTTATGTAGTTTTGTCGCACGATGCGGGACAAAGCACGCAATTGCGCCCCTAGCAACGCACACACGATCGATAAAAAAATCTCATTCGCGTTAACAATGCTTAAAAAATATACACACAACGCTGAGGTTCATTCTTCAAAGTCTTATGTCCCCCCCACCCCAATGCGTGCAGTTACTGCTATAAAGTCCGTAGATATTAATATTAGAGCGCTTAGATGGCATTGTTGCAGCGCGGGTGGGGAGAGCGGCCCAGCCCCCAGCCTGGCAATGTGTCACCTCCTCTGGCTTGGCAATCTAGGCGAGGCCGCGGGCTCTGCATGGGACTAGGCCCCACCACGGCAATGTGAAGTAGAATTTTATTTAATCTTTCGCTAAGAACTCAAGTTTATTTACTATTATGAAACAAATAAGTTAGCAAATATTACAATAAAAATGTTTGTGTGTAGAAAACTAATATTGCACTATTTGGTTGCTAAATATGTTCTTGTTTAGCTGTGTTTCTATGAAGCTGAGACGGTGTACTGCCAGTCCGTGCTGTTACCTGCTGCCTGCTCATTAATTAACGTCGGTGCACTGGCACCATTTTGGCGAATTGCCCGATGATGCGAAACGTCGTACTCAAAAATTGTAAATGTTGTGGATTCACTCTTCAACACACCGGTGGTCTAAAGTAGGGAACTTTTGTCTTTGTCAACGTGACAGTTTTTTGCTGATTGGCCGTGTCGGGTGGTGGAGGATTACGACACATAAATAATAACGCGATCTAACCCAAAAATGTTTGTAATAAATAATATTGGTCGCGAAAGCCTACATGTTAAACTATTATCTACACTGCTAATTTTGCTTTTGGGCATTGAGTGTATGCCAGTCTATAATCTGTTGCCTGCTTCTTTACCTCACTCGGTGTACTGCCAGCCTTTCATGTTGACTGTATCCTGCTTTATCAGCTGCTGACCATATTGCCAGCCTTTTATGTCGACTGTAGCAATGCTTGTGTCATTGAGTCGGCGTACTGGCAGTCTATAATCTAGACTGTAGCCTACTTCTCAACTTAGCTATGCGTACTGCTGCTCTTTAATGTAAGCTTATTTCATCTTATTTCTTCAATGCATTTCTATTGTTTCGATTGCACACGTCACGCTATTTACTGATACGTAGTACTGCGATGCCGATTAATATGTTATACTGCTAAATACGTTGGATTTTCTTAGCTACAGCCCATTGCATTTCGTCTATCGTTTTGTTACATTCGTGGGAACATCACCCATTTAAATTTTGTCGTACCGCACCTTTACTTTCCACCAAAGCGGGGAGCACGCAGGGAGGTTCAATGCCCCAAATATTGTTGACCTTGCTTTCTTACGGTGGGTGAGGAACATTGTGAGAGAGACATTGTTCTTCCATACCAAGAAAACACCATCGCACAATTTCTTGACACTAACAGAGCATACAATGCCCTACAATAACACATTTTCTTGTCGCAAGGCCAAGATGGGTACCACGTCAAGATTCCTCCAATTACAAATTTGCAGGACAAAGACATCCTTACGAAACTGTCTCGTCTAAAAAAACTTCTATTCCTTCGTGATCATGGACAGAGGAGGACACCACATTGTGGTGCGCCAACCTCTATCACCAATATGTTGTCGATGAGTATGCCAACATTGAGAGTGAGCGCCTTTTACATTCTACTGAATCAAAACCGCCTGTGTGTGACCAGTATGCTCATCTCTGGGACGCCATCAATTCCGAAGGAGATGGAAACTGTTACAATGTGGGCTGATTAGTTGTTTTGCCTTCATCCTTCACAGCTCCACCAAGATACATGCATGAGAAAACTCTGGATGCCATGACGTACATCAGCCAATATGCCACTCCCCATCTCTTCATCACATTCACTTGCAATCCCAAATGAAAGGAGATCCAGGTTTACCTTCATCCAATCCAAAAGCCACCAGACAGACATGACATCTTAGTGAGGGTCTAAAACTCAAAGTTTATGACCTCATGATGCTTATTATGACCAACGAAGGCGGCGTGTTTGGATAGACAAGCAGTAACTTGCACACCGTTGGGTGGCTAAAACGTCGTCCACCTCGTGCTCACATTTCGCTATGGATGAGGGAAACAATTCATGCAAGTCACATTGACACATTAATCAGTGCTGAGCTATCTCACCCCCATCCAGACCCTGCTTTTTTTTCTGTGCGGTCTGCAACCAAATGGTCCATGGCCCATGTGCCCAGTTCTAGCCAAATGCGCCATGTATGCAAGACCACAGGTGTACCAAAAGGTATCCACGGAACTACTTGCAAGACACTCAGTGATGGCTAACCTCGATATCGTCACAGAAATACTAAGCATGGTGGATTTCAAACAATGCTCAGACCTGCCACTAACTCGCTAATGAAGGTTCACAACCGGTGGATCGTTCCCTACTGCCCTGTACACACACACAGTGTGTACACACACACACACGGTGTGTACACACACACGGTGTGTACACACACACACAATGTACACACACACACAATAATGTCCACGTTGTTGAGCTGAGCTCACACACCCAAGGGGTCCCTGTTCAAGGGAGGGAGCGATGAAAAATGAATCTAAATCAACTTAAACTCCAACCCCACTCTGTGACGTCACCATTCAGCATGACCTCATCGGTGTGAAACGCCAGCGGGAGGTGTTCCTCGCTAGTGGCGTCATGTCACCAAAGTATTCACCCCGCCCAACGGGCCCTTGAGCGTGACGTCATTTCTGCCTGGGTCACTTCCGTTATCTGTTCAAGAACTATGCTTATTTGGGCAAAGCCACACCCAGTGACTGGTGGTTCATTAACATAATTTATTCGTGAAAGACGTCACGAGTTCGTTGTGACCTGTTCGGCACCCACGCCCATCCCTCCACGTGTGGGCCAGGCTCAATAACATAATTTATGTAAGTTACAGAGCCGCTCATTGTGGGAGGGGAGTGTCTTGTACCACGCAAGTGACGTCATGTCACCTGCTGCTGCCGCGTGACGTCACGAGGTAACGGAAAGTTGCCGCTCCGCGCGGGAACTGAAATCCGAGGTGAGAAATTCTCATCGCGGTTGTGGTGGTTGTGGTGGTGGTGGTTGTGGTGGTTGTTTACCGAGGTAGAGCCTCGCTCTCTCTCTCGTAGGGATTTTATTTGAGTAGCAGCGAGCATGGAAGCGATGTCCAGATTGGAACTTTACAACGCGGGGCCTTGCCTCCTGCCCTCGCCTGGTCGCGTTCGCTTCAATTCTCTCGCTTAGTTTAGCAATTTCGATTTAAAGCTTTCGTGACTGCAGTGATTCATCTCCTTGGTTCTTTTGGTAAAGTCACATAGAATGGAAATAATAAACTACAAATTTTTTAAACAAAATAATACAAATAAAACATAACATTTTATAATGTTTTATATCACGTAGAATGGAAATAATAAAATTATAAAACTAATATTAGGTTTTATATGTTTATTATTTTATTATTTCCATTCTACGTGACTTTACCGAAAGAACCAAGAAGATAGTTTAGCAACCTGTGAAAGAACGCGATCAGCCAGGCGATGCGTTAGTTGTGTTAACTCTAGATGTGACGCTTTCGTGACTGCCAGGATTCATACTCTTAGGTTTTTTTCGGTAAAGTCACCATGTAGGTAAAAAATGAAATAAAAATTCATAAAAGTAACAATAGAAATAAAATATGAAATAAATCACGACGTTTCGGAGGCAACACAAGTCTCCGTCATCAGGTGGCACCGTCACAGCCAGATTTGCTGCATCAAGTGAGGCGTGATTTTTTATTTATTTCTATTTTTACTTTTATTAATTTTAAATTCATTTGTTACCTGCATGTTGACTTTACCGAAACAACCTAAGAGTCTGTTAGTTGGTGTGTTGACCGACTCTCTGTGTTGCATTACATTTGAAATGTTAAGTTTGTTTGATTAAGTGTCTCTCTCTGTGTGCAGTCACCAAAGCTCCAAATCTCTCATTGACACAAGGCCGTAATTATAATGTTATAATAATGATAATATATAAATTATAATGTTATAATAAATATAATATATATAAATTATAATGTTATAATAAGTATAATATGTTATAATAATTATAACATGTTATAATAATCATAATATGTTATAATAATTATAATAATCAAATATGCCCCTCCAATATATTGCTGTAAAATATTTGTAAATAATAATTGCGATGCTCTGTTAATAAAAACAACAATTTGCTAAACCTTGGCCACGAAATCTGGACTTGTCTTTATATAACAATGTGTAATGCGGGCGCGGGCGACCTCCCGGATGTGACGTCACGGAGAGGTGGAGTTAGGTGACGTGGGAGGAAAGGTTAAGGTTCTTAAGGGAGGAGACCGGAAGAGGAAGGCAGAACGAGTGGGACTGGACCAGAGTAAGGCCACGTGGGCAAAGCCAAGGGGTGGCAGCGGCGGCCAGCGGTGGCCAGCTAAGGGAGCAGCCAGCGGAGCTGCGAGAGAAGACAGCGGTGGGGCGGCTGGAGAGAAGGCGGACGAGGAGCTGCGGGGAACACAGCCGGCGAGGCTGTGTGTGAGGGAGAGGCTACGAGAGCGACGAGAGGAGAGAGAGGCTGAGAGAACGACGAGGGGAGGAACTGCAGGAGAGCAGTATCAGTGTCAGTATAGAGTCTTATAGAAGGACAGCCGTGCGGGTTAAGAGAGAAGAACCGAATAAAGGACACCAAGCCAGACATCGTGGTCGAGTCCTTTATTACATTGGTGTCGGAAGTGCAACGGCATGTCGAAACAAGTGAGAAAGAAAAATGTTCCAGCGCCGGCATCGGCTTCTTCGTCCGAAGACGAAGACTTCCCTCCAAACATGGATCCTGCCAGGGTGGTGGAGGAGAGCCCTGCTGAAACGAGTGCGGGGACGGGAGTGGAAGATGTAGCCACAGTGTCAGGGCCGCCGACACCATCAGACGCTGATCGGCGATGGCTGCAGGTGGCTGAGCAACTGGAGACTCTCAAGGACGCCCTGGGCCAATTGTGTCATCTCGTCACCCCAAGCACGGCGACGGAGAGAGCGGAGAGTGCTCCACAGGCCGCCACGGGTTCTTCACTCCCGGCGCCATGGGCCACGCGGCAGGAGGCCGCCATCTTGCGCGTGCCGCGGCGGGAATCCGCCATCTTGACCACGCCGCGATTCGACGCCATTTTGAATTTGCCTCCGGAGGAACCATCGGCGGAGGGCGGAGTGAAGCGAAGTCGGAGTCGCCATCTCACCACGGTCAAGGAATTCGCCATTGGGGGCGACTGGAGCGCTTTCGCCTGCAGATTTTTAGCGGCGGTCCGTTCTGCGAGATGGACCGATGCTGAGGCCTTGGAAGTGTTGCCGACTCTTCTGGACGACGAATCTGTTCGTTTTTTTCGCTCCATTAAGGCCGAGAAGAAGAGGACATTATATGGAGTTTTTCAAGAAATGGCCGACGCCTACGAGCCACCTGACGACGCGCATCGGCGATTCGCTCAACGACAACGAGCGCCCGAGGAGTCGCCTGTGGCGTACAGGGGTGCAGTGCTTGATTTAGCTATGGCCGCGTATCCAGATACAACACCTGACCTGCTCGAGCCTCTCATCTTGGGCAAGATGCTCGAGCTGTCGCGGGATCTTGGGATTCCCATGCCGGTGTGCGGGCATGAGAAGCTCACCTCCCGGGCGGCGGCGAAATGTCTGGATGCACAATTCAACCTACGACGATGGAAACAGGTCACGGCGTGGACAGGGGGGCCCGTCGCGGAGGGTGGCGCTCTGGGTTGGGACCCTACGAAGTCGGTATACGTGCCGGATGAGCGGGGCCCTCAGGAGCTGACGGCCGCCTCGGTGCCATGGTCAGGCCGCGGTGGACCGGCCTCTCGTGCTGCACCGCCGATACGCGGGCGGCGCGATGCAAGGCCTGCGCTTCGGCGCAACGACGCCGATTGCTTCCGCTGCGGACGGAAGGGCCACTACGCGAAGGACTGCTGGGCCCGCATCCCGGGTCCGCCACAACAGGAGGCCTCATTACCGGCCAAGCCGCCCAAGGATCCACCGAAACAGGCAAGTCGGCACGCACCAGACACCCGGCAAGGCTTTACACCTCACCCATCACCTTCGTTGTGCGGTCATAGTGTTGTTGTTAAAGAGGGACCTTCGACGGGGCCTTGTCGCTCTGTGACGCAGTGGCGCAAATTGGCACGGAGGGTTGTTGCGGCCGCTACGGGTTCGTCCACCGTGCCGGGGTCTATACAAGGGGTGGACGTGCGCATTTTGGTCGATTCCGGGGCGTCCGCGACTATTATTTCGGATGTCATTTTTCATCTGTTAGGCATCCCACCCGGGGCCGTGCGTCCGGTTTACGGGTCGTGCGTCGCTGCGAACGGGGGTAGTATGGGCATCGTGGGCCAGGTGGACGCTAAAATATCTATTGGGGATGTGTCGGCCTCGGGCGTTGTGTTGATTTCAAGATCCTTGGCAGTTCCCTGTTTATTGGGCACTGATTTTCTGGCTAAAATGCCTATTTTGATCAAAATTAATGAGAATTGTATTGAACTGCCGGGTGGCCGTCAAATTTCGTTTCTGCCGTCGCCCTGGGGGCGACCTGCTTCGGCCGTACAAGTGCAGGCGCTATCCGTGGCATCTGTTGATATTCCACCTGGTTCACAGATGCTTATTCCCCTGCGGTATCGGAAGCCCCTGCCTGGTCGGCTGGGAGCGGTTGGGATCTTGTTGTCACCTTCAGCCTCGATAACGGCCGGATCGGCGCTGGTCGGAGCGCAGACCATCGTCCGGCCAGATCAATTACCGTTTTTGCAGGTGCTCAATGCGGGTACGGAAAATGTCTGTGTCCCAGCCGGCACGGTTGTGGCACATGCCACCACGGCATTTACGGCTCACGATTGTTCGCATAGCCAGGGAGTGGTTGCTGGTGTTTCCGAGCCTGTGGCTTCGGATGACCGCTGGATTGCTAGCTTATGTGACGGAAATTCTTCCCTGTCTGTGGATCAACGGGGTGCGCTTCATAAATTGTTATTGACGTATTCCGATGTGTTTAGCTCCAATGATTTGGATTTGGGACGCACCTCATTGCTTCACCATCACATTGCTACAGGCGACGCTGCCCCTATTCGGTTGAATTCGCACCGAATGAGTCCGGCCGAGCGAGAACACGTTCGGGGGGCAGTGGAGGATATGTTGGCTGCGGATATTATATCGCCGTCGAACAGCCCATGGGGCGCGCCTGTGGTTTTGGTTAAGAAAAAGGATGGCAAATTGCGATTCTGTGTTGACTTTCGAAAATTGAATAAGATATCGGTGGCAGATGCGTATCCCCTGCCGCGTATGGACGACTCCCTCGACGCATTGTCGGGGGCTAAGTATTTCTCTACACTGGACCTCTCTTCGGGATTTTGGCAGCTTCCCCTTGACGAGCCCTCACGGGAGAAGACCGCATTCCGTACGCCGCAGGGGTTGTTTCAATTTAACTGCCTGCCGATGGGGCTGAATGCGGCCCCTGCCACATTTCAAAGGCTCATGGAACTCGTTTTGACGGGGTTGCAGTGGGAGACATGTCTCATATATTTGGACGATATCATCGTCTTCAGCCGCACATTTGATGAACATTTAAGGCGGCTGGAGACGGTGTTCGCGAGGATGCGCTCCGCGAACTTGAAATTTAAACCAAAGAAATGTCACCTACTGCAACGGTCCGTCCGTTATTTGGGGCACATCGTGAGTGCTGAGGGGGTGTCTACGGACCCGGAAAAAACGGCGTGCGTCCGAGATTGGCCGACTCCGGTCACCGTGGGGGATGTACGTCGCTTTCTGGGATTTGCCTCGTATTATCGAAGATTTGTACCGAATTTTGCGACCATCGCGAGGCCCTTGCACCTCCTTACGGGTAAGGGACGTAAGTTTGCGTGGGGACCGCCGGAGGAGGCGGCCTTTCAGAGTCTGCGTAATCTGTTGGCTACCGCCCCAACATTGGATTATCCGGATTTCAATCAACCGTTCATTCTTGATACGGATGCGAGCGACACAGGTATTGGCGCGGTGTTGTCTCAGTCTAAAGGGGGCGTAGAGCGCGTCGTTGCGTATGGTAGCCGGGTCCTGTCGCCCGCGGAAACACGCTACTGTGTCACTCGCAGGGAACTCTTAGCCGTTGTTTTTTTCCTACGTCAGTTTCGACCGTACCTGTACGGCCGTTCCTTTATCGTACGTACGGATCATGCGGCCTTGCAATATGCCCTTAAAATGGATCAACCTTCCGGCCAGCTGTCGCGTTGGTTGGACACGCTGCAAGAATTTTCATTTCAAATTCACCATCGTAAAGGGGTGCGCCATGCGAACGCAGACGCACTTTCTAGGTTGCCGCAGCGCTCCCCTTGCAAATGTGCGTCGGGGACGCAGAGATGTGCGCCCAGCCTACCCCCCCCTCAGCCGGTGGTATTGGCTGTGGAGAAGTCGGATGCTACTGTGGAACCGGGGCCGACTGATGGGGTTTTGAATCTGCCACGGTCTGTTTGGATAAGGGAGCAAATGATGGATGAGTCGTTAGTGTCCTTGCGGAAGCGATCCAAAGTGGAGGTTGGGGGTCCGGTTACGGAGGGTGCGCCGGAAACCGCGGTCCGAGATGGTCTGCTTATGTGGAGGGAAAGTCTCCAGGAACACTGGCGTCTAGTGGTGCCTGCGTCCCTCCGATACGAGTTGATTAGAACTCTCCATTGTGACACGCTATTACATCTGGGTGTGCAGAAGACCTTGTTGACGTTGCAACGTCATTATTTTTGGCACGGCATGTCGACGGATGTCGTGGGGCACGTCCGCGCGTGCCCTGACTGTGCCCGGCGTAAGCCTCCTAAACATCCTTATGTGCCACCCTTACAGTCAATTCGGGTGTCTCGGGTCAATGAATTGGTGGCACTGGACATTTTGGGACCTTTCCCACCTTCGGCGAGGGGTAATAAATATTTGCTGGTCGGGGTTGAGTACCTCTCCCGTTGGCCGATGGCCTGGCCGTTGCCCGATCAATCGGCCGCGGCCATTACCGACGCCTTTTTGTTCGGATATGTTATGGACAAGGGTGCGCCGGAGAGACTCCTTACGGATCAGGGCCGAAATTTTTCTTCGAAATTATTGGCGGAAGTATGCGCGGGCCTAGGGACTAAGAAGGTCCGGACATCCCCATACCATCCGCAAACGGATGGTATGGTTGAGCGGCTAAACCGGACATTGTCTGCCATGCTGTGCCACACGGTGAGTGAGCAACAATCGGATTGGGACCTGCACATCCCGGGGGTGCTTTCGGCGTACAGGATGACTCCTCATGCGGCTACGGGTTTTTCGCCATTTTACCTTATGTATGGTCGGGAAAACGTGCCGCCAATGGATGTGCAGATGGGAACCGGTGTGAGGGGACCTTGTAAACCGCTTCCTGACTACATTCGGGACACTGTTCGCCGGGTCTCGGAGGCGCGGGAGAGTGCCCGTGTGGCTACGGCCAAAGCTCAGGCCCGAAATGAGAGGTACGCACGGCGTTCCAAAGGGGAGTGCCCCTGGAAGGTTGGGGACCTGGCCTGGCTCCATTGCCCGCAGGTGCGGCCGGGTACCTCTCCCAAATTTCACAAACCTTGGCGAGGGCCTGTCCGCCTCATTGAGGTTCCTAATCCTCAGTCGGCGCGTGTTCAAATTGGTTCTCGCCGCTGGTTTGTTCACACGTCGCGCTTGAAACCGTATGTTGCTCCCCTACATGATGCATCATCTCCCAATGTTGCCTTGCCGGGGTCTGTTGCTGCCGACTCTCCCCCGCCTGCGTCCATTGATCTTGCTAGAGCGCCTGTCGTACCTGTTCCAGGCAGGCCGGCCTTGACACCGGAGGGGACGAGGCGCTCTGCTCGGAGGGTGCCTGCCAGATCTGCGGGTCCTTCGAGCCCTGCAGCCCTTCCGACCCCGCTGCAGACGCATCCGCGGGACAAGCCCAAAACTGATCCTTCAAGGACACGGGACGTTGGTGGACTTCCAACAGCGACAGGGGGATTTCACCCTGTCGCTCCTCAAACTCAATCACGTTCCCGTTCCGCGGATGGGCCGCCGACCGTCCGGGACGGGCCGGCGACCCGCACACGCTCTAAATCCCTTGTGTTTCGTTGATTGTTATGTTGTATTGTTCTTACTGTGTATTTATTGCCTGCTTCTGCTACGTTATTGATTGTTGAGTTGTGTTGATTGTTCTTACTGTTATATTGCATGCTTGGTGTCCTTTGGTGTGTTACGCTCGGGTTCGCCCGCATTACTGTTGGTGTTGTTCAGCCGAGGTCGGCTGGGTTTTTCTCCACGGGGGAGGGTGGTGTAATGCGGGCGCGGGCGACCTCCCGGATGTGACGTCACGGAGAGGTGGAGTTAGGTGACGTGGGAGGAAAGGTTAAGGTTCTTAAGGGAGGAGACCGGAAGAGGAAGGCAGAACGAGTGGGACTGGACCAGAGTAAGGCCACGTGGGCAAAGCCAAGGGGTGGCAGCGGCGGCCAGCGGTGGCCAGCTAAGGGAGCAGCCAGCGGAGCTGCGAGAGAAGACAGCGGTGGGGCGGCTGGAGAGAAGGCGGACGAGGAGCTGCGGGGAACACAGCCGGCGAGGCTGTGTGTGAGGGAGAGGCTACGAGAGCGACGAGAGGAGAGAGAGGCTGAGAGAACGACGAGGGGAGGAACTGCAGGAGAGCAGTATCAGTGTCAGTATAGAGTCTTATAGAAGGACAGCCGTGCGGGTTAAGAGAGAAGAACCGAATAAAGGACACCAAGCCAGACATCGTGGTCGAGTCCTTTATTACAAATGCATAGATTTCTGTTTATATGATTGCGTTGTACTTTATGAATCCCTAATCTCTGCCATTACATACTATGAAACAAGAAAAGGTAAAAAAGAAAAAACAGCAATGTAATACAATACACTATTAGACATTATTGTATAAAATAAAACAAATTCCATCCCATGTGTTAGTGAACTTTTACAAATATTTTAGGGAGGAAAATGCAGGAAATGAGTTATCAAATTTAGATATTTTTCTGGGGGGGGACCCCAGACCCCCTGCAAGATTTGGTCCCCCCCAATGTTGACTCCGTGGCTACGGCCTTGCATTGACATGCTAATTTCTCTACCCCCCCCCTCTCTACCCCCCCCTCTCTCTCTAAGGCCTCGACACAGGCGTTGTTTCTTTGTGTGTCTCTGTGTGTGTGTGTCTCTGTGTCTGTCATGTCTATGTGTGTGTCTCTCTCTGTGTGTCTGTGTCATCTCTCTGTGTGTCTCTGTGTGTCTCTCTGTGTCTCTGTGTCATCTCTCTCTGTGTGTCTATGTGTGTGTCTCTCTCTCTGTCTTTCTGTCATCTCTTTCTGCTTATGTGTCTGTCTATGTGTCTCCGTGTCTGTGTTTTGTCTCTCTCTCAAATTGAGAAATCTTTGGAAGAACGTTATCAACCTGTTGGGGTGTTGACTGTTATGTTAGCTGACTCTCTGTGTTGTATTGCATTACATTTCTAAGTTTACTAGGTTTTTTTTCTCTTTCATTTGTACCTGATGATGATTGCTTGTGTTGCAATTGAAACGTTGTATGCTATTTGCACACAGTGTTGGTTTTAGATGCTTTTTGTGGAATATTTTGCTGTTTTTCCCTGGATTTTCATGTTTGCACAGTCACATAGTCACTTTAAGATGTTTTCTCGTTCATGTTTTTGTTTGTTGCGGTTGCATCCGATTCAAGAGCCGAATGGCTCACGGGGCTATACCAAATAAATGAAACTGAAACTACAATATTATTTATTTATTTATTCTACGTGACTTTACCGAAAGGACCAAAGAGTATCTTGCTTAAGTTTTAATTTCTCTTCACCTGGCTCGCTACTTTGTAACTTTGTTTTATTTTAAATATTCGCAGTTTTTTTTTCATTTTTTACCAGGCCACGCCCGCTTGAGCTGCTGTACCGCTCTTGTTTTCAGAAGCGACCTGCCCACAACAACAATAACAAGGTGAGGCTTGTCAACAGCGTGGCGGTGTTCACTCTGGACGCGTGGCGGTGTTCACTCTGGACGCGTGGCGGTGTTCACTCTGGACGCGTGGCGGTGTTCACTCTGGACGCGTGGCGGTGTTCACTCTGGACACGTTGCGGTGTTCACTCTGGACGCGTGGCGGTGTTCACTCTAGACGCGTGGCGGTGTTCACTCTAGACGCGTGGCGGTGTTCACTCTGGACACGTGGCGGTGTTCACTCTGGACGCGTGGCGGTGTTCACTCTGGACGCGTGGCGGTGTTCACTCTCTGCATGTGGAGTGGGGAGAACCGGGGGATCCGGAGGGAAATCCACGCGACCACAGGAAGAGAGAAAGACACACAAACTAAATATACAGCAGGCATCAGGGTTGGGATGAATCCACGACTTCCTGTATGCCAGGAGAGGTAGTTAACATCTCACCACGGGGAGCGAGAGAGACACGCAGCCTCGGCGATGTTGATTAATCCTCATTGAATTACTTTGTGGAGTCAGGAAGCATTAATAGTGAGTGGATGAAGGTGGTTAGGCATGGGTCTGGACACACCTCTTAACCATGCCAGTAGGTGACAGTGTAAAGTTTGTGTTTGCAGTTAAGTCTATTAACTCTATTGAACACGGAGGTTATACTGTATCACAACAATAGTTTGTTTTTGTTTTCCTCTGGAACTTTATAAGAATGGAAACAGTCAAGAAGTTAACACAGCACACACATGCAGCTGAAGTCAGATCTGTTCATCCCAGCATTCAAGGACATCGTGAGTCTGGCTGGCTTCACACCTCTAAGTTGCGATTGAACATTAATTTATGCATTTTTGCATAACACAAATAGTATTATTTTCAACACCTTTTGCTATGTCAGCTAAATTTAGCTTTCATAAATACAGTGATCCCTCGTTTATCGCGGTTAATGGGGACCGGAACCCCCCGCGATAAGTGCAAATCCGCGAAGTAGGATTGGCCCCCCTAGGAATTTCCGTATATGTGTGTGTGGGTACCAGAATGTTTAAAATATGTATTTTTATACTTTATATATATTTTACTTAAATCTATTTAACTAGCTGTACTACCCGGCTTCGCCCGGGACTTGTATCCACCACGGCCGGCCGCCTTTGTATATATTTTACTTAAATCTATTTAATTATAAAACCTTAATATTATACATTCACTCTCTCTCATACGATACGTATTATGGTGTTCTACACTCACCAGTTAATTTCGAACACAACACTAAGATACGCGAGACACAGTTGACAGCATGAACGAGAGTGGCGAGATACAACAAGGGAATAAGCTGGGAGAGGATGCGATGATGCGCAGCCAATCAGCTCACGGGATACTGTACATCCACTCGTGCTCTCATTCGTCGATCTCGCGCCGGGAACCAATCACGTGCCTTGTCTGAAAAATCCACGATGCACAGAGGCCGCGAAACTTGAACCGTGAAGTGGCGAGGGATTACTGTATTCCTTTTGTAGCTAGACAGCCAAAATTGTGTGCTCGGAGTTTTAGGTTTAACATTCATTTTGAAGATTCGAGGGCTTCCTGGCATGTTTATGACCATTCGCCCTCTAATTGTGTGCCAGAACAGCCCGTGTGATGAATTTGGGAATCTTTTTCACGATATCATGAATATATGAATAAGTGTCGACTTCTAAGTCATGTGTTACCGTGTAAATATGCATTCCTCTGTGCATCGATACTGATGTGGATATAACTTTTTTTCTGTCTGCAGCTGTCGCTTCCTCTGCAGACTTGGTCTGATGGAGCAAAGGCACTCGGCGCGGCTCGGTGCAAAAAGGCAACAATGCGACCGGTGTGCATTCAGCACGGATCGTCCTGAACATTTGACAAGGCACCAGAGAACACACACGGGAGAGAAACCGTTCAAGTGCACTGTGTGTGGGAAGGCGTTTTCAGATTCATCTGCTCTTATAAAACACCAGAGAACACACACGGGAGATAAACCCTTCAAGTGCAGTGTGTGTGGGAGGGCGTTTGCACAGTCATCTGCTCTTGTAATACACCAGAGAACACACACGGGAGAGAAACCCTTCAGGTGCAGTGTGTGTGGGAAGGCGTTTGCACATTTATATACTCTTATAATGCACCAGAGAACTCACACGGGAGAGAAACCCTTTAAGTGCAGTGTGTGTGGGAAGGCGTTTTTACAGTCAGCTAATCTTGTAGCACACCAGAGAACACACACGGGAGAGAAACCCTTTAAGTGCAGTGTGTGTGGGAAGGCGTTTTCACAGTCAGCTAATCTTGTAGCACACCAGAGAACACACATGGGAGAGAAACCCTTCAAGTGCAGTTTATGCGGGAAGGCGTTTGCACAGTCATCTGCTCTTGAAAGACACCAGAGAACACACACAGGAGAGAAACCCTTCAAGTGCAGTGTGTGTGGGAAGGCATTTGCATGTTCATCAAATCGTCATTTACACCAGAGAACTCACACGGGAGAGAAACCCTTTAAGTGCAGTGTGTGTGGGAAGGCGTTTTCACAGTCAGCTAATCTTGTAGCACACCAGAGAACACACACTGGAGAGAAACCCTTTAAGTGCAGTGTGTGTGGGAAGGCGTTTTCACAGTCAGCTAATCTTGTAGCACACCAGAGAACACACATGGGAGAGAAACCCTTCAAGTGCAGTTTATGCAGGAAGGCGTTTGCACAGTCATCTGCTCTTGAAAGACACCAGAGAACACACACAGGAGAGAAACCCTTCAAGTGCAGTGTGTGTGGGAAGGCGTTTGCATGTTCATCAGATCGTCATTTACACCAGAGAACACAGACGGGAGAGAAACCCTTCAAGTGCAGTGTGAGTGGGAAGGTGTTTGCACAGTCATCTGCTCTTGAAAGACACCAGAGAACACAGAAGCATCAGAAGATCCACAAGGAGTGGAGTCTGAAATCAGCTTGTGAAAGTCAAAGTGCCGCAATGATCTCATCCCTCATCAAACAAGAACCGGAAGAAAATCCCAGCTTGGACACTTTTAAAGGTGTCAAGGTGAAATATGAAGAGGTGAAGGTGAAATGTGAAGAAGTGATGGTGAAGAGTGAAGAAGTGATGGTGAAGAGTGAAGATGTGATGGTGAAGAGTGAAGAAGTGATGGTAAAATGTGAAGATGAAGAGTCAACTCCAAAATCGGACCTGCACATTGATGGAGGCAACGTGAAGCAGGAGGAGAATTCTGACTGTGAGGCAGAGCGAGGCAACTCTCAGCAGTTTGTGGAAGTGGAGGTGTGGGTGGACTTCCTCCGAGACAATACAAAGTCAAATGGAGACCCGGTAAATGTGTAAGCCTGAGACGATGTTGCTCCAATAGATGCACCTTTGTCACAGGCTATTAATGACAAGAATGAAGTTGAACACTCAATTCCTAGGTTCAACTTGCAGAGTAAGAGTGGCAAGTCTGTGTGGACCTGTGTGTTGGGTAGATCTCTAACCAGGAGCGAGAGCCAATAAGCTCCCAAGCATTCGCTATGTTATCAATTGCATTTATATGGTGCTTGCTTAATCGCCTCGGCAACTCGGAGTTTTGTATCGTATCTCGTTTCAAACACTCGAAGAGCATCCCCAAGTAGCAGCTGCCCCTGTGTGGCACAAGGTGGTGGCCCTGCACCGGTCTGCATGTGGACAAGAGCCTGTCAGTAGGGGGCGATGGTTGATGTGGCATCTTAGTTGTGGAGTTTGTAGGTAATGTTTAGAATTTCATCAATTTTGACCCAGATGCCAGCATGCAATGGCCTACTCGTTTTGAATGGTGCATTAGTATGTTGTACATACACTGTTAAGCAGACGGTGCGTATTTTTTTAATTAGCTTCTTGTTATTAGGATGTAACCTAATGCAGTATATTTCAGTGCAGTAATTCAATTTTGTTAATATGCCTGTCAATAATTTAGAATGAATACTTGTATGATGGTGTGCGTACATGTACCATTTTGTCTATAAGGGTCAAACATTGAATAAGTGATGTTAGGACAAAGTGTGTGTTTTGCAAGTAACCTGTACAGATCACTCAGGTGAGACTCATAGTTCTTGTGCTACAGGTCAAAGGGTACTTTTGTGTTTTGAGGAAGCGTCTGCCTCTGGAGCAACTCATTGTCTTTGAAATAGGGAGCACACTCAGATCATTAATCAGTTACAAGGAATACCACTCAAAAGTTACACGTAGAGGAGATACATTCTCAACAACATGAATTATAATTTTGTCTTACGTGTTGACGTAGATTTTGTCTAACTAGGACGAGAAATACTCCTTGCTGATTAACGTCTGGATATTCGTAATTATCAGTTGAAGCAACCCCGGCTGCTCTTGAGACGCTGTGCACCAATACGGATCCACAGGTGGCTTGCACTGAATCAATGACGGACTCCCAGAAGGCTGTGCTAGTTATAGTTTGTGTAAAATATTCCTCTGTTTCATGGAAAGATCGATAAATGAAAGATGTGTCTGCTGATCTGCTTCATAGCAAGGAGGTAATTTTAAGAGCACATTTGAAATGCATTTTTGGTACAGATTTGTATTCGGTTACAAGGCAGAGCACATCTAGTAGATACATTCTGCACAACATCACTCATTTGAAATTTGCATGACGTCTTATATGTTGGCGAACTAGGACAAGAAATGGTCCTTGCCGATTAACGTCTGGATGTTCACAACCATGTGTTGAAGCAAGCCTGACCGCCTGCGGCGTCCCTCACAACCATTTATGGCCTTGGGCCAGGAAAGTCACGAAGAAAATTGCGCACGAACGACGCATTCACGCAAGCTCCCGATGCTCCGTTTTGAAGTTTTAAAATGAAACAACTTTGAATTGTATTATGTTTTGCATTTGATACTTGTATTTCTTCATTAAAAGCTGATATCATTTTTCATCTGGAAGACTTCATTGAAAATGACATTTCGTGTGAATTTTCTCTCGTCGTTAAGTAGATGGCCTTACCAGGGTTCGGTTCGATGCGGACTTTCACCTGGTTGGGATCGCGGGGTGGAGATAAGGTGACACAGAGCTGGCCGTGCCAGAAGACCGCCGTCTTCAGATCGATTCCAACGCGATCGAACGTCTGTCCCCGCTCCTCCGTCGTTCATGTAGGGGGCGCGTAGGTTTGCAGCGCCTCCTGCATAAAAACGACGGAAAGTGCAGGGTTCACCACAGATGAAGTTGTGTGCTTATATAAGAGTACTCGCGGGAAGCACCCGGCGTGGAATTTCCCACCTTTTATCGTAATCTATAGGATACTAAGGCTAAGCACACCCGAGGATTGCACTTTTGTTGAAAAATGAAGTTGCAAATATTTGTCCATTATTGGCCAAAAACGGCATAGGTTAGTATGCCGATTTTATATATTGGGACGTGCACATTTCATCATAAAATGTTCAACTTTTAATCTAATACATAGCATACTAAGGGTAAATACAATTGATGAATGAACTTTTTGTTGAAAAAGAAAGCTATGAAAATTTGGCTTATTTTGGTTAAAACCGGCATAAGTATCCCCGATTTTATTTTTGGGGCGTGAAAAACTAATCGTGAAATTTCCCACTTTTAAAGTAATATAGAGCATACAAATGCTTCACAAAATGGAGGAATTCACTTTATATTGGAAAATCTAGCTATGAAAATTGAGCAAATTTTGGCCAAGAACAGCATTGGTAAACTATGCCGATTTGATGTTTTTACTTAAAATTTAATGGTGAAATTTCTCACTTTTAATGTAATATATAGACTACTCAGGCTAAACACAACCGAGGAATGCACTTTTTGTAAAAAAATACAGCTGTAAAAATTCGTTACATTTTAGCCAAAAACGGCAGAGGTTAGTATGTCGATTTTTTGTTTGGGACGTGAACATTTCATCGTGAAATTTTCCACTTTTAATCTAATACATATCATACTAAGGCTAAATACAATGGAGCAATGAACCTTTGTCGACAAATAAGGCTGTGAAAGTTTGGCCAATTATGGCCGATTTTATTTTTTTACTTTAAAATTTCATGGTGAAATTTACCACTTTTTTTACGTAATATATAGAATACTAAGGCTAAGCACACCCGAGGATTGAACTTTTGTTAAAAAATGAAGCCCATTATTGGCCAATAACGGCATTTTTATCTAACACATGGCATACTAAGGGTAAATACAATAGAGGAATTAACTTTCGTCCTAAAATAAAACTGTGAAAGTTGGGCTTATTGAGCCTAAAAACGGCACAGTATGCCGATTAACTTTTTTACATTCGAAAATTTCATGCATGAAATTCCCCACTTTTTAACGTTATATATAGGCTACTCAGGCTAAACACAACCAAGGAATGCACTTTTCGTTGAAAAATAAAGCTAGAAAATTTTGATCGATTTTGCCAAAAAACGGCCTAGATTAGTATGGCGATTATCTTTTCATGGACGTGAAAATGTCATCGTGAAATGTCGCCAGCGGTGTGCTGGAGAGCCAAGCCACAACATCTACAAAGTGCTGCTCATAGCGAGTAGCAGCACCGGTAGAGGTCGTCACGGCACACACAGAGGGGGTGGGTGGCCAGCTCCACGCCCGGCCGCCTTTGTCTCCCCAGTGCTGGCGATGTTGACACACCGCACCGGGGACTCGTTTGAGGCCGTATCGACAACGCCGCTCCCCTTCTGTCAACAAACTTGAACTCTAACCCCGCTCTCTGACGTCACCGCTCAGCGTGACCTCATCGGCATCAAACGCCAGGGGGAGGTGTACATCGCAAGTGACGTCATGTCACCTGCTGCCGCGTGACGTCACTAGGGACCAGGAAGTTGCCGCTCCGCCCGTGAACTGAAATCCGAGGTGAGAAATTATCATCGCGGTTGTGGTGGTGGTGGTTGTGGTGCTTGTGGTGGTTGTGGTGCTTGTGGTGGTGGTGGTGCTTGTGGTGGTGGTGCTGCTTGTGGTGGTGGTGCTGCTTGTGGTGGTGGTGGTGCTTGTGGTGGTGGTGGTGCTTGTGGTGGTGGTGGTGCTTGTGGTGGTGGTGGTGCTGCTTGTGGTGGTGGTGGTGCTGCTTGTGGTGGTGGTGGTGCTGCTTGTGGTGGTGGTGGTGCTGCTTGTGGTGGTGGTGGTGCTGCTTGTGGTGGTGGTGGTGCTGCTTGTGGTGGTGGTGGTGCTGCTTGTGGTGGTGGTGGTGCTGCTTGTGGTGGTGGTGGTGCTGCTTGTGGTGGTGGTGGTGCTGCTTGTGGTGGTGGTGGTGGTGCTGCTTGTGGTGGTGGTGGTGCTGCTTGTGGTGGTGGTGGTGCTGCTTGTGGTGGTGGTGGTGCTGCTTGTGGTGGTGGTGGTGCTGCTTGTGGTGGTGGTGGTGCGCTTGTGGTGGTGGTGGTGCTGCTTGTGGTGGTGGTGGTGCTGCTTGTGGTGGTGGTGGTGCTGCTTGTGGTGGTGGTGGTGCTGCTTGTGGTGGTGGTGGTGCTGCTTGTGGTGGTGGTGGTGCTGCTTGTGGTGGTGGTGGTGCTGCTTGTGGTGGTGGTGGTGCTGCTTGTGGTGGTGGTGCTGCTTGTGGTGGTGGTGCTGCTTGTGGTGGTGGTGCTGCTTGTGGTGCTTGTGGTGCTGCTTGTGCTGCTTGTGGTGCTTGTGGTGCTGCTTGTGGTGCTTGTGGTGCTGCTTGTGGCTGCTTGTGGTGCTGCTTGTGGTGCTGCTTGTGGTGCTGCTTGTGGTGCTGCTTGTGGTGCTGCTTGTGGTGCTGCTTGTGGTGCTGCTTGTGGTGCTGCTTGTGGTGCTGCTTGTGGTGCTGCTTGTGGTGCTTGTGGTGCTGCTTGTGGTGCTTGTGGTGCTGCTTGTGGTGCTTGTGGTGCTGCTTGTGGTGCTTGTGGTGCTGCTTGTGGTGCTTGTGGTGCTGCTTGTGGTGCTTGTGGTGCTGTTGTGGTGCTTGTGGTGCTGCTTGTGGTGCTTGTGGTGCTGCTTGTGGTGCTTGTGGTGCTGCTTGTGGTGCTTGTGGTGCTGCTTGTGGTGCTTGTGGTGCTGCTTGTGGTGCTTGTGGTGCTGCTTGTGGTGCTTGTGGTGCTGCTTGTGGTGCTTGTGGTGCTGCTTGTGGTGCTTGTGGTGCTGCTTGTGGTGCTTGTGGTGCTGCTTGTGGTGCTTGTGGTGCTGCTTGTGGTGCTTGTGGTGCTGCTTGTGGTGCTTGTGGTGCTGCTTGTGGTGCTTGTGGTGCTGCTTGTGGTGCTTGTGGTGCTGCTGTGGTGCTTGTGGTGCTGCTTGTGGGTGCTTGTGGTGCTGCTTGTGGTGCTTGTGGTGCTTGTGGTGCTGCTTGTGGTGCTGCTTGTGGTGCTGCTTGTGGTGCTGCTTGTGGTGCTTGTGGTGCTGCTTGTGGTGCTGCTTGTGGTGCTGCTTGTGGTGCTGCTTGTGGTGCTGCTTGTGGTGCTGCTTGTGGTGCTGCTTGTGGTGCTGCTTGTGGTGCTGCTTGTGGTGCTGCTTGTGGTGCTGCTTGTGGTGCTGCTTGTGGTGGTGCTTGTGGTGGTGCTTGTGGTGGTGCTTGTGGTGGTGCTTGTGGTGGTGCTTGTGGTGGTGCTTGTGGTGGTGCTTGTGGTGGTGCTTGTGGTGGTGCTTGTGGTGGTGCTTGTGGTGGTGCTTGTTGTTGTGGTTGGTGTGTACCGAGGTAGAGCCTCGCTCTCTCTACGGGATGTCAATTGAGTAGCAGCGAGCATGGAAGCGATGTCCAGGTTGGAACTTTACAACGCGGGGCCTTGCCTCCTGCCCTCGCCTGATCGCGTTTGCTTCAATTCTGTCGCTTAGATTTGTGTTTTTTGTTTGCGTTCCGACTGCAGGTATTGTGGTCTATGCAAACATGACTCCTCGTAAAAAAGGTGTCAATTTTCTTGCGAGATAGAAGAATAAAAAAACAATTATATCTCGCTTAAGTTGAATTTATCTTCACCCGGCTCCCCACTTTGTAACTTTGTTTTACTTTAAATATTAACACAGTTTTTATTTTTACCAGGCCAAGCCCGCTTGAGCTGCTGTACCGCTCTTGTTTTCAGAAGCGACCTGCCCACAACAACAAGGTGAGGCTCGTCAACAGCGTGGCGGTGTTCACTCTGGACGCGTGGCAGTGTTCACTCTGGACGCGTGGTGGTGTTTACTCTGGACGCGTGGTGGTGTTTACTCTGGACGCGTGGTGGTGTTTACTCTAGACGTGTGGCGGTGTTCACTCTGGACGCGTGGCGGTGTTCACTCTCTGCATGTGGAGTGGGGACAACCGGGGGATCCGGAGGGAAATCCACGCGACCACAGGAAGAGAGAAAGACACACAAACTAAATATACAGCAGGCGTCAGGATTTGGATGAACCCACGACTTTCTGTATGCCAGGAGAGGTAGTTAACATCTCACCACGGGGAGCGAGAGAGACACGCAGCCTCGGCGGTGTTGATTAATCCTCATTGAATTACTTTGTGGAGTCAGGAAGCATTAATAGTGAGTGGATGAAGGTGGTTAGGCATGGGTCTGGACACACCTCTTAACCATGCCAGTGTGTAACAGTGTAAAGTTTGTGTTTGCAGTAAAGTCTATTAACTCTATTGAACACGGAGGTTATATCACAACAATAGTTTGTTTTTGTTTTCCTCTGGAACTTTATAAGAATGGAAACAGTCAAGAAGTTAACACAGCACACATGCAGCTGAAGTCAGATCTGTTCATTTCAGCGTGCAAGAACATCGTGAGCCTGGCTGGCTTCACACCTATAAGTTGCGATTGAACATTAATATTATGCATTTTTGCATAACACAAATAGTATCATTTTCAACACCTTTTGCTATGTCAGCTAAATTTAGCTTTCATAAATATTCCTTTTGTAGCTAGACAGCCAAAATTGTGTGCTCGGAGTTTTGGGTTAACATTCATTTTGAAGATTCGAGTGCTTCCAGGCATGTTTATGACCATTCGCCCTCTCATTGTGTGCCAGAACAGCCCATGTGATGAATTTGGGAAACTTTTCCACTATATTATGAATATATGAATAAGTGTCGACTTATAAGTCATGTGTTACTGTGTAAATATGCATTCCTCTGTGCATTGATACTGACGTGGATATAACTTTTTTTCTGTCTGCAGCTGTCGCTTCCTTTGTCGAATTTGTCTGATGGAGCAAAGGCACTCGGCGCGGCTCGGTGCAAAAAGGCATCAATGCGACCGGTGTGCATACAGCACGGATTATATTAGACATTTGACACAGCACCAGAGAACTCACACAGGAGAGAAACCCTTCAAGTGCAGTGTGTGTGGGAAGGCGTTTTCAGATTCATCTGCTCTTGTAAAACACCAGAAAACACACACGGGAGAGAAACACTTCAAGTGCAGTGTGTGTGGGAGGGAGTTTGCACGTTCATCTACTCTTGTAATACACCAGAGAACACACACGGGAGAGAAACCCTTCAGGTGCACTCTGTGCGGGACGGCATTTGCACGGAAACAAAATCTTCAAGTACACCAGAGAACACACACGGGAGAGAAACCCTTCAAGTGCAGTGTGTGTGGGAGGGAGTTTGCACGTTCATCTACTCTTGTAATACACCAGAGAACACACACGGGAGAGAAACCCTTCAGGTGCACTCTGTGCGGGACGGCATTTGCACGGAAACAAAATCTTCAAGTACACCAGAGAACACACACGGGAGAGAAACCCTTAAAGTGCAGTGTGTGCGGGAAGGTGTTTGCACAGTCATCAAATCTTCAAGGACACCAGAGAACACACAAGCATCAGAAGATCCACAAGGAGTGGAGTCTGAAATCAGCTTGTGAAAGTCAAAGTGCCGCAATGAGCCCATCCCTCATCAAACAAGAACCGGAAGACAATTTCGGCTTGGACGATTTTAAAGGTATCGAGGTGAAACATGAAGAGGTGCAGGTGAAATGTGAAGAAGTGATGGTGAAGAGCGAAGAAGTGAAAGTAAAATGTGAAGATGAAGATTCAACTCCAATATCGGACCTTCACATCGATGGAGGCAACGTGAAGCAGGAGGAGAATTATGACTGTGAGGCAGAGCGAGGCAACTCCCAGCAGTTTGTGGAAGTGGAGGTGTGGGTGGACTTCCTCCGATAAAATACAAAGTCAAATGGAGACCCGGTAGATTCGTAAGCTTGAGACGATGTCGCTTCAATCGATGCACCTTTGTCACAGGCCTTTAATGACAAGAATGTGAAGTTGAACACTCAGTTCCTAGGTTCAACCTGCAGGGTAAGAGCAGCCAGTTCTTGTAAACCTGTGTGTTGGGTAGATCTCTAACCAGGAGCGGGAGCCAATAAGCTCCCCAGCATTCACTATGTTATCAATTGTATTTATATGGTGCTTGCTTAATCGCCCCGGCAATTCGGAGTTTTGTATTGTATCTCGTCTCAACCACTCGAAGAGCATCCCCAAGTAGCAGCTGCCCCTGTGTGGCACAAGGTGGTGGCCCTGCACCGGCCTACATGTGGACAAGAGCCTGTCAGTAGGGGGCGATGGTTGATGTGACATCTCAGTTGTGGAGTTTGTAATGTTTATAATTTGATCAATTTTGACCCAGACGCCAGCATGCAATGGCCGACTCGTTTTGAAAGACACAATAGTATGTTGTACATACACTGTTAAGCAGACGGTGGTATCATTTAAAATAGCTACTTGTTAATATGATGTAACCTGATGCAGCATATTTCAGTGCAGTAATTCAATTTTGTTAAAATGACTCAATAAGTTCGAATGATTACTTGTCTGATGGTGTGCGTACATGTAACATTTTGTCTATAAGGGTCAAACATTGAATAAGTCATGTTAGGACACAGTGTGTGTTTTGAAGTAACCTGTACAGGATCACTCAGGTGAGACTCCTTCGTGTGATACAGGTCAAAGGGTATTTTTGTGTTTTCAGGACGCATCTCCCTCTGGAGCAACTCATTGTCTTTGAAATAGGGAGCACACTTGGATCATTCATCTGTTACAAGGAATACCACTCAAAAGTTACACGTAGAGGAGATACATTCTCTACAACACGAATTATAATTTTGTATTACGTGTTGACGTAGATTTTGTCGAATTAGGACGAGAAATGGTCCTTGCCGATTAAAGTCTGGATGTTCACAACCATGGATTGAAGCAAGCCTGACCGCCTGCGGTGCCCCTCACAACCATTTACGGCCTTGGGCCAGGAAAGTCACAAAAAAAATAGCACACGAACGACGCATCCGCGCAAGCACCCGATGCTCCGTTTTGAAGTTTGAAAATGAAACAACTTTGAATTATTCATTGAAAACGACATTTCGTGTGAATTTTCTCTCATCGTTAAGTAGATGGCCTTGCCGGGGATTCCATTCGATGCGGACTTTCACCTGGTTGGGATCGCGGGATTGAGATGAGGCGACACAGAGCTGGCCGTGCGAGAAGACCGCCGTCTGCAGATCAATTCCAACGTGATCGAACGTCTGTCCCTGCGCCTCCGTCGTTCATGCAGGGGGCGCGTAGGTTTACAGCACCCCCTGCATGAAAACGACAGAAAGTGCAGCGTTCATCACAGTTAAAGTAGTGTGCTTATATATAAATTCATTTTTTGTCTGTCTGTGTGTTCACGCGCTTGCGAGGGATTTGTCTCTCTAACAGTGAGGTTTACGAAAAAAATTTGCCCGGTACCACGCCGGAAGCCCTGCGGTTGGCAAGCACTATTCGTTTTTCACATCCGTCACCATTAAATTAGTTTAATTAGCGATTTTGTGCGATATTTCTTTATTTATGTAGTTTTGTCGCACGATGCGGGACAAAGCACGCAATTGCACCCCTAGCAACGCACACACGTTCGATAAAAAAATCTCATTCGCGTTAACAATGCTTAAAAAATATATACAACGCTGAGGTTCATTCTTCAAAGTCTTATGTCCCCCCCACCCCAATGCGTGCAGTTACTGCTATAAAGTCCGTATATATTAATATTAGAGCGCTTAGATGGCATTGTTGCAGCGCGGGTGGGGAGAGCGGCCCAGCCCCCAGCCTGGCAATGTGTCACCTCCTCCGGCTTGGCAATCTAGGCGAGGCCGCGGGCTCTGCATGGGACTAGGCCTCACCACGGCAATGTGAAGTAGAATTTTATTTAATCTTTCGCTAAGAACTCAAGTTTATTGTTTACTATTATGAAACAAATAAGTTGGCAAATATTACAATAAAAATGTTTGTGTGTAGAAAACTAATATTGCACTATTTGGTTGCTAAATATGTTCTTGTTGTGCTGTGTTTCTATGAAGCTGAGACGGTGTACTGCCAGTCCGTGCTGTTACCTGCTGCCTGCTCATTAATTAACGTCGGTGCACTGGCACCATTCTGGCGAATTGCCCGATGATGCGAAACGTCGTACTCAAAAATTGTAAATGTTGTGGATTCACTCTTCAACACACCGGTGGTCTAAAGTAGGGAACTTTTTGTCTTTGTCAACGTGACAGTTTTTTGCTGATTGGCCGTGTCGGGTGGTGGAGGATTACGACACATAATTAATAACGCGATCTAACCCAAAAATGTTTGTAATAAATAATATTGGTCGCGAAAGCCTACATGTTAAACTATTATCTACACTGCTAATTTTGCTTTTGGGCATTGAGTGTATGCCAGTCTATAATCTGTTGCCTGCTTCTTTACCTCACTCGGTGTACTGCCAGCCTTTCATGTTGACTGTATCCTGCTTTATCAGCTGCTGACCATATTGCCAGCCTTTCATGTCGACTGTAGCAATGCTTGTGTCATTGAGTCGGCGTACTGGCAGTCTATAATCTAGACTGTAGCCTACTTCTCAACTTAGCTATGCGTACTGCTGCTCTTTAATGTAAGCTTATTTCATCTTATTTCTTCAATGCATTTCTATTGTTTCGATTGCACACGTCACGCTATTTACTGATACGTAGTACTGCGATGCCGATTAATATGTTATACTGCTAAATACGTTGGATTTTCTTAGCTACAGCCCATTGCATTTCGTCTATCGTTTTGTTACATTCGTGGGAACATCACCCATTTAAATTTTGTCGTACCGCACCTTTACTTTCCACCAAAGCGGGGAGCACGCAGGGAGGTTCAATGCCCCAAATATTGTTGACCTTGCTTTCTTACGGTGGGTGAGGAACATTGTGAGAGAGACATTGTTCTTCCATACCAAGAAAACACCATCGCACAATTTCTTGACACTAACAGAGCATACAATGCCCTACAATAACACATTTTCTTGTCGCAAGGCCAAGATGGGTACCACGTCAAGATTCCTCCAATTACAAATTTGCAGGACAAAGACATCCTTACGAAACTGTCTCGTCTAAAAAACTTCTATTCCTTCGTGATCATGGACAGAGGAGGACACCACATTGTGGTGCGCCAACCTCTTTCACCAATATGTTGTCGATGAGTATGCCAACATTGAGAGTGAGCGCCTTTTACATTCTACTGAATCAAAACCGCCTGTGTGTGAACAGTATGCTCATCTCTGGGACGCCATCAATTCCGAAGGAGATGCAAACTGTTACAATGTGGGCTGATTAGTTGTTTTGCCTTCATCCTTCACAGCTCCACCAAGATACATGCATGAGAAAACTCGGGATGCCATGACGTACATCAGCCAATATGCCACTCCCCATCTCTTCATCACATTCACTTGCAATCCCAAATGAAAGGAGATCCAGGTTTACCTTCATCCAATCCAAAAGCCACCAGACAGACATGACATCTTAGTGAGGGTCTAAAACTCAAAGTTTATGACCTCATGATGCTTATTATGACCAACGAAGGCGGCGTGTTTGGATAGACAAGCAGTAACTTGCACACCGTTGGGTGGCTAAAACGTCGTCCACCTCGTGCTCACATTTCGCTATGGATGAGGGAAACAATTCATGCAAGTCACATTGACACATTAATCAGTGCTAAGCTATCTCACCCCCATCCAGACCCTGCTTTTTTTTCTGTGCGGTCTGCAACCAAATGGTCCATGGCCCATGTGCCCAGTTCTAGCCAAATGCGCCATGTATGCAAGACCACAGGTGTACCAAAAGGTATCCACGGAACTACTTGCAAGACACTCAGTGATGGCTATCCTCGATATCTTCACAGAAATACTAAGCATGGTGGATTTCAAACAATGCTCAGACCTGCCACTAACTCGCTAATGAAGGTTCACAACCGGTGGATCGTTCCCTACTGCCCTGTACACACACACAGTGTGTACACACACACACAATGTACACACACACAATAATGTCCACGTTGTTGAGCTGAGCTCACACACCCAAGGGGTCCCTGTTCAAGGGAGGGAGCGATGAAAAATGAATCTAAATCAACTTAAACTTCAACCCCGCTCTGTGACGTCACCATTCAGCATGACCTCATCGGTGTGAAACGCCAGCGGGAGGTGTTCCTCGCTAGTGACGTCACGTCACCAAGGTATTCACCCCACCCCGCCCAACGGGCCCTTGAGCGTGACGTCATCTCTGCCTGGGTCACTTCCGTTATCTGTTCAAGCACTATCCTTATTTGGGCAAAGCCACGCCCACTGACTGGTGGTTCATTAACATAATTTATTCGTGAAAGACGTCACGAGTTCGTTGGGACCTGTTCGGCACCCACGCCCATCCCTCCACGTGTGGGCCAGGCTCATTAACATAATTTATTTAAGTTACAGAGCCGCTCATTGTGGGAGGGGAGTGTCTTGTACCCCACAAGTGACGTCATGTCACCTGCTGCTGCCGCGTGACGTCACGAGGTAACGGAAAGTTGCCGCTCCGCGCGGGAACTGAAATCCGAGGTGAGAAATTCTCATCGCGGTTGTGGTGGTTGTGGTGGTGGTTGTGGTGGTGGTGGTTGTGGTGGTGGTGGTGGTGGTTGTGGTGGTGGTTGTGGTGGTTGTTTACCGAGGTAGAGCCTCGCTCTCTCTCTCGTAGGGATGTTATTTGAGTAGCAGCGAGCATGGAAGCGATGTCCAGATTGGAACTTTACAACGCGGGGCCTTGCCTCCTGCCCTCGCCTGGTCGCGTTCGCTTCAATTCTCTCGCTTAGTTTAGCAATTTCGATTTAAAGCTTCTTTCGTGACTTCCGGGTATTCATCTGCTTGGTTCTTTCGGTAAAGTCATCACGTAGAATGGAAATAATAAAATACAAATTTTTTAACAAAATAATACAAATAAAACATAACATTTTATTATGTTTTATATCACGTAGAATGGAAATAATAAAATAATAAAACTAATATTAGGTTTTATATGTTTAATGTTTTATTATTTCCATTCTACGTGACTTTACCGAAAGAACCAAGAAGATAGTTTAGCAACCTGTGAAAGAACGCGATCAGCCAGGCGATGCGTTAGTTGTGTTAACTCGAGATGTGACGCTTTCGTGACTGCAAGGATTCATACTCTTAGGTTTTTTTCGGTAAAGTCACCATGTAGGTAAAAAATGAAATAAAAATTCATAAAAGTAACAATAGAAATAAAATATGAAATAAATCACGACGTTTCGGAGGCAACACAAGTCTCCGTCATCAGGTGGCACCGTCACAGCCAGATTTGCTGCATCAAGTGAGGCGTGATTTTTTTTATTTCTATTTTTAGTTTTATTAATTTAAAATTCATTTGTTACCTGCATGTTGACTTTACCGAAACAACCTAAGAGTCTGTTAGTTGGTGTGTTGACCGACTCTCTGTGTTGCATTACATTTGAAATGTTAAGTTTGTTTGATTAAGTGTCTCTCTCTGTGTGCAGTCACCAAAGCTCCAAATCTCTCATTGACACAAGGCCGTAATTATAATGTCATAATAAATATAATATATATTAATTATAATGTTATAATAAGTATAATATGTTATAATTATAACATGTTATAATAATCATAATATGTTATAATAATTATAATAATCAAATATGCCCCTCCAATATATTGCTGTAAAATATTTGTAAATAATAATTGCGATGCTCTGTTAATAAAAACAACAATTTGCTAAACCTTGGCCACGAAATCTGGACTTGTCTTCATATAACAATGCATAGATTTCTGTTCATATGATTGCGTTGTACTTTATGAATCCCTAATCTCTGCCATTACATACTATGAAACAAGGAAAGGTAAAAAAAGAAAAAACAGCAATGTAATACAATACACTATTAGGACATTATTGTATAAAATAAAACAAATTCCATCCCATGTGCTAGTGAACTTTTACAAATATTTTAGGGAGGAAAATGCAGAAAATTAGTTTTCAATTTTAGATATTTTTCTGGGGGGGGGGACCCCAGACCCCCTGCAAGATTTGGTCCCCCCAATGTTGACTCCGTGGCTACGGCCTTGCATTGACATGCTAATTTCTCTACCCCCCCCCCCTCTCTACCCCCCCCCCTCTCTCTCTAAGGCCTCGACACAGGCGTTGTTTCTCTGTGTGTCTCTGTGTGTGTGTGTCTCTCTCTGTGTCTGTCATGTCTCTGTGTGTGTCTCTCTCTGTGTCTGTATCATCTCTCTGTGTGTCTCTGTGTCTCTGTGTCATCTCTCTCTGTGTCTATGTGTGTCTCTCTCTCTCTGTCTTTCTGTCATCTCTCTCTGCTTATGTGTCTGTCTATGTGTCTCTGTGTCTCCGTGTCTGTGTTTTGTCTCTCTCTCAAATTGAGAAATCTTTGGAAGAACGTTATCAACCTGTTGGGGTGTTGACTGTTATGTTAGCTGACTCTCTGTGTTGTATTGCATTACATTTCTAAGTTTACTAGGTTTTTTTCTCTTTCATTTGTACCTGATGATGATTGCTTGTATTGCAATTGAAACGTTGTATGCTATTTGCACACAGCGTTGGTTTTAGGTGCTTTTTGTGGAATATTTTGCTGTTTTTCCCTGGATTTTCATGTTTGCACAGTCACATAGTCACTTTAAGATGTTCTCTCGTTCATGTTTTTGTTTGTTGCGGTTGCATCCGATTCAAGAGCCGAATGGCTCACGGGGCTATACCAAATAAATGAAACTGAAACTATAATTTTATTATTTATTCTACGTGACTTTACCGAAAGGACCAAAGAGTATCTTGCTTAAGTTTTAATTTCTCTTCACCTGGCTCGCTACTTTGTAACTTTGTTTTATTTTAAATATTCGCAGTTTTTGTTTTCATTTTTTACCAGGCCACGCCCGCTTGAGCTGCTGTACCGCTCTTGTTTTCAGAAGCGACCTGCCCACAACAACAATAACAAGGTGAGGCTTGTCAACAGCGTGGTGGTGTTCACTCTGGACGCGTGGCGGTGTTCACTCTGGACGCGTGGCAGTGTTCACTCTGGACGCGTGGTGGTGTTCACTCTGGACGCGTGGCGGTGTTCACTCTGGACACGTGGCGGTGTTCACTCTAGACGCGTGGCGGTGTTCACTCTAGACGCGTGGCGGTGTTCACTCTGGACACGTGGGGGTGTTCACTCTAGACGCGTGGCGGTGTTCACTCTAGACGCGTGGCGGTGTTCACTCTAGACGCGTGGCGGTGTTCACTCTGGACACGTGGCGGTGTTCACACTGGACGCGTGGCGGTGTTCACTCTGGACGCGTGGCGGTGTTCACTCTCTGCATGTGGAGTGGGGACAACCGGGGGATCCGGAGGGAAATCCACGCGACCACAGGAAGAGAGAAAGACACACAAACTAAATATACAGCAGGCATCAGGGTTGGGATGAATCCACGACTTCCTGTATGCCAGGAGAGGTAGTTAACATCTCACCACGGGGAGCGAGAGAGACACGCAGCCTCGGCGATGCTGATTAATCCTCATTGAATTACTTTGTGGAGTCAGGAAGCATTAATAGTGAGTGGATGAAGGTGGTTAGGCATGGGTCTGGACACACCTCTTAACCATGCCAGTGTGTGACAGTGTAAAGTTTGTGTTTGCAGTTAAGTCTATTAACTCTATTGAACACGGAGGTTATACTGTATCACAACAATAGTTTGTTTTTGTTTTCCTCTGGAACTTTATAAGAATGGAAACAGTCAAGAAGTTAACACAGCACACACATGCAGCTGAAGTCAGATCTGTTCATCCCAGCATTCAAGGACATCGTGAGTCTGGCTGGCTTCACACCTCTAAGTTGCGATTGAACATTAATTTATGCATCTTTGCATAACACAAATAGTATTCTTTTCAACACCTTTTGCTATGTCAGCTAAATTTAGCTTTCATAAATACAGTGATCCCTCGTTTATCGCGGTTAATGGAGACCGGAACCCCCAGCGATAAGTGCAAATCCGCGAAGTAGGATTGGCCCCCCTAGTAATTTCCGTATATGTGTGTGTGGGTACCAGAATGTTTAAAATATGTATATTTATACTTTATATATATATATATTTTACTTAAATCTATTTAATTATAAAACCTTAATATTATACATTCACTCTCTCTCATACGATACGTATTATAGTGTTCTACACTCACCAGTTAATTTCGAACACAACACTAAGATACGCGAGACACAGTTGACAGCATGAACGAGAGTGGCGAGATACAACACGGGAATAAGCTGGGAGAGGATGCGATGATGCGCAGCCAATCAGCTCACGGGATACTGTACATCCACTCGTGCTCTCATTCGTCGATCTCGCGCCGGGAACCAATCACGTGCCTTGTCTGAAAAATCCACGATGCACTGAGGCCGCGAAACTTGAACCGCGAAGTGGCGAGGGATTACTGTATTCCTTTTGTAGCTAGACAGCCAAAATTGTGTGCTCGGAGTTTTAGGTTTAACATTCATTTTGAAGATTCGAGGGCTTCCTGGCATGTTTATGACCATTCGCCCTCTCATTGTGTGCCAGAACAGCCCGTGTGATGAATTTGGGAATCTTTTTCACGATATCATGAATATATGAATAAGTGTCGACTTCTAAGTCATGTGTTACCGTGTAAATATGCATTCCTCTGTGCATCGATACTGAGGTGGATATAACATTTTTTCTGTCTGCAGCTGTCGCTTCCTCTGCAGACTTGGTCTGATGGAGCAAAGGCACTCGGCGTGGCTCGGTGCAAAAAGGCAACAATGCGACCGGTGTGCATTCAGCACGGATCGTCCTGAACATTTGACAAGGCACCAGAAAACTCACACGGGAGAGAAACCCTTCAAGTGCAGTGTGTGTGAGAAGGCGTTTTCAGATTCATCTGCTTTTATAAAACACCAGAGAACACATACGGGAGAGAAACCCTTCAAGTGCAGTGTGTGTGGGAAGGCGTTTTCAGATTCATCTAGTCTTGTAAAACACCAGAGAACACACACGGGAGAGAAACCGTTCAAGTGCACTGTGTGTGGGAAGGCGTTTTCAGATTCATCTGCTCTTATAAAACACCAGAGAACACACACGGGAGAGAAACCCTTCAAGTGCAGTGTGTGTGGGAGGGCGTTTGCACGTTCATCTGCTCTTGTAATACACCAGAGAACACACACGGGAGAGAAACCCTTCAGGTGCAGTGTGTGTGGGAAGGCGTTTGCACATTTATATACTCTTATAATGCACCAGAGAACTCACACGGGAGAGAAACCCTTTAAGTGTAGTCTGTGTGGGAAGGTGTTTTCACAGTCATCTAATCTTGTAGCACACCAGAGAACACATACGGGAGAGAAACCCTTTAAGTGCAGTGTGTGTGGGAAGGCATTTTCACAGTCAGCTAATCTTGTAGCACACCAGAGAACACACATGGGAGAGAAACCCTTCAAGTGCAGTTTATGCGGGAAGGCGTTTGCACAGTCATCTGCTCTTGAAAGACACCAGAGAACACACACAGGAGAGAAACCCTTCAAGTGCAGTGTGTGTGGGAAGGCATTTGCATGTTCATCAGATCGTCATTTACACCAGAGAACTCACACGGGAGAGAAACCCTTTAAGTGCAGTGTGTGTGGGAAGGCGTTTTCACAGTCAGCTAATCTTGTAGCACACCAGAGAACACACACGGGAGAGAAACCCTTTAAGTGCAGTGTGTGTGGGAAGGCGTTTTCACAGTCAGCTAATCTTGTAGCACACCAGAGAACACACATGGGAGAGAAACCCTTCAAGTGCAGTTTATGCGGGAAGGCGTTTGCACAGTCATCTGCTCTTGAAAGACACCTGAGAACACACACAGGAGAGAAACCCTTCAAGTGCAGTGTGTGTGTGAAGGCGTTTGCATGTTCATCAGATCGTCATTTACACCAGAGAACACAGACGGGAGAGAAACCCTTCAAGTGCAGTGTGAGTGGGAAGGTGTTTGCACAGTCATCTGCTCTTGAAAGACACCAGAGAACACAGAAGCATCAGAAGATCCACAAGGAGTGGAGTCTGAAATCAGCTTGTGAAAGTCAAAGTGCCGCAATGATCTCATCCCTCATCAAACAAGAACCGGAAGAAAATCCCAGCTTGGACACTTTTAAAGGTGTCAAGGTGAAATATGAAGAGGTGAAGGTGAAATGTGAGAAGTGATGGTGAAGAGTGAAGAAGTGATGGTGAAGAGTGAAGAAGTGATGGTAAAATGTGAAGATGAAGAGTCAACTCCAAAATCGGACCTGCACATCGATGGAGGCAACGTGAAGCAGGAGGAGAATTCTGACTGTGAGGCAGAGCGAGGCAAGTCTCAGCAGTTTGTGGAAGTGGAGGTGTGGGTGGACTTCCTCCGAGACAATACAAAGTCAAATGGAGACCCGGTAAGTGTGTAAGCCTGAGACGATGTTGCTCCAATAGATGCACCTTTGTCACAGGCTATTAATGACAAGAATGAAGTTGAACACTCAATTCCTAGGTTCAACTTGCAGAGTAAGAGTGGCAAGTCTGTGTGGACCTGTGTGTTGGGTAGATCTCTAACCAGGAGCGAGAGCCAATAAGCTCCCAAGCATTCGCCATGTTATCAATTGCATTTATATGGTGCTTGCTTAATCGCCTCGGCAACTCGGGAGTTTTGTATCGTATCTCGTTTCAAACACTCGAAGAGCATCCCCAAGTAGCAGCTGCCCCTGTGTGGCACAAGGTGGTGGCTCTGCACCGGTCTGCATGTGGACAAGAGCCTGTCAGTCGGGGGCGATGGTTGATGTGGCATCTTAGTTGTGGAGTTTGTAGGTAATGTTTAGAATTTCATCAATTTTGACCCAGATGCCAGCATGCAATGGCCTACTCGTTTTGAATGGTGCATTAGTATGTTGTACATACACTGTTAAGCAGACGGTGCGTATTTTTTTAATTAGCTTCTTGTTATTAGGATGTAACCTAATACAGTATATTTCAGTGCAGTAATTCAATTTTGTTAATATGCCTGTCAATAATTTAGAATGAATACTTGTATGATGGTGTGCGTACATGTACCATTTTGTCTATAAGGGTCAAACATTGAATAAGTGATGTTAGGACAAAGTGTGTGTTTTGCAAGTAACCTGTACAGATCACTCAGGTGAGACTCATAGTTCTTGTGCTACAGGTCAAAGGGTACTTTTGTGTTTTGAGGAAGCGTCTGCCTCTGGAGCAACTCATTGTCTTTGAAATAGGGAGCACACTCGGATCATTCATCAGTTACAAGGCATACCACTCAAAAGTTACACGTAGTGGAGATACATTCTCAACAACACGAATTAAAATGTTGTATTACGTGTTGACGTAGATGTTGTCGAATTAGGACAAGAAATGGTCTTTGCTGATTAACGTCTGGATGTGCACAACCATGGGTTGAAGCAAGCCTGACCGCCTGCGGTGCCCCTCAATCATTTACGGCCTTGGGCCAGGAAAGTCACGAAAAAAATTGTCCACGAACGACGCATTCACGCAAGCACCCGATGCTCCCTTTTGAAGTTTTAATATGAAACAACTTTGAATTGTATATTGTTTTGCATTTGATATTTGTATTTCATTAAAAGCTGACATCATTTTACATCTGGAAGACTTCATTGAAAACGACATTTCGTGTGAATTTTCTCTAGTCGTTAAGTAGATGGCCTTACCGGGGTTCGGTTCGATGCGGACTTTCACCTGGTTGGGATCGCGGGGTGGAGATAAGGCGACACAGAGCTGGCCGTGCCAGAAGACCGCCGTCTGCAGATCAATTCCAACGCGATCGAACATCTGTCGCTGCTCCTCCGTCATTCATGCAGGGGTGTTGTATATGCTGGATTATGCAATTTTGATGAAAATAATAAAAAATAAAAAAAAATTCCGAAAAATGCGCAAATATGCATAAATTATGATAATGCATGTAATTATATGCATACATTATGATAATCACGGAGATAATCGTAGTAATTTATGCGGATGCTTGCGATTATGTTAATGTGTGCAGTTGTGATAATTAAGCTTAGCTTCGTTTATCCAGTGTTATATCAATCAGGATAACACGATTATCATCGATTAAACGTTTACTGATTATCCTAGTGTGTGTTATATTTTAGGTCTCCAGTTTCAGATCTCATCACAGGCTACAGTTCTCAAGAATAAGACAGTTTTGCATGGACTTGGAAGGAACACTCGTTATGCTTCTGTGATAACAATTTTATTCTAAACAAACACGTGACATCCTATCATGCAGGTCAAACATGCGTCAATAATTCATTTGCGAGACTATGCATTTAACTAAATTGAATAACCAAACTCTTATGCATTTGCGAGATTATGCATTCGACTAATATGAATAACTAAAACTCTTATGCAATTACGAGATTATGCATTTGACTAAAATGAATGAATAAACACTTATGCATTTGCGAGACTATGCATTTAACTAAATTGAATAACCAAACTCTTATGCATTTGCGAGATTATGCATTCGACTAATATGAATAACTAAAACTCTTATGCAATTACGAGATTATGCATTTGACTAAAATGAATGAATAAACACTTATGCATTTGCGAGACTATGCATTTGACTAAAATGAATGAATAAACACTTATGCATTTGCGAGAATATGCATTTAACTAAATTGAATAACTCAAAACTCTTATGCATTTGCGAGATTATGCATTAACTAATATGAATGAATAAACACTTATGCATTTGCGACATTATGCATTTAACGAACTGAATGACTAAAAACCCTCCTAACAATCGTAACCTCTACCTTTCCACCAGACATCTCATTAGTTCGCCCATGTATCGATCACAATCGGCGACTGGCCGAGTTTGAAAACAAGCATGACACACTTCCTATGGCGGTAATAAAAAGCACTTATTGTATCCCAGAGGCGAAAGTATATGTCAATAGATTCATCGGCAAGTATAAAATATTTTTAACGGAATGTTTGATATAATGGTGGGTGAGGGCGTGTATGTGGGAGAGCGAATCTGGCTCTGTTTTAATTAATGCTTCGGCGAGACTCTATGACAAAGGAAACTGGTTTGACAAGATATTCTCTCTCTGTGTACGGTCGATTCGTAATGAGGATTTCGAGAGGTTGAGTTTGCCTCGACGAGTCTATTGATCGCCTATGTGATGAGCGGAACAAGGGAAAGGCACGGAAAACAACCTCACTCTTATAACCGACGGACTCTTAATCACTCGATGGGCCACGATTCCTCATGGCCAGCTGATGGTTCATGTAGTTGATAATCAGTCTTCCGATAATTGTGTAGGGTTGATATGATGGTAAGGACGAAATAGATAGTCTCAAAGGGGGGTGGGCGTCGACGCGAGCGCATGTGAGCCTACGTGAGGGAAGTTGTGGGTACGAACGACTTTCGGAGAAGGGCCCTCTGGCTGACGCAGCTGCGGTGATCGGCTGCTTCAGACTCCTCCCTCGGCTGAGCCCGTACGAAGATTGACGGCGCGGCTGCGCTCGTTTGCGTGGTCAGGGGAGCACGTGTGTGGTGGCGGCAAGGGAACTGGCTCGTTCACTCTTGTGCGGCAGGCGAGCACCTCGGCGATGCACGTCAAGGCGATGCACGTCAAGGCGACGCACGTCGCCACCCCACGAGCCTCGTCCTTCTGGATGACGAGAGCTTCTTCGTTGGCGGCGACGAGGAGAGATGGCTGTCGCCCTGGAGATCTCTGGTGGGGCATTAGCCCGGAGACGAGATGAGATGTAGGCCGGAGCTCGTGAAGATCTGTGGTGGAGCCGAAGCCCTGGCGACGAGATGGGGCCCAGAGCCCCCTGACGATCTGCTTTGGATGGATTTTTCTTCGGCTTATATTGGGAAATTCCACTCAGTTTCCCGAGTTGTTCAAAAGGCTGTGTCATAAAACATTCCTGTGGGGGTGAACCATCTGCGTCCGTGTGTGTGTCGTATGCGTGTCCGTCCGTGTGTTTCACGTGCGTTTGTCCGTGTGTTTATTAGCTTTGAAGACACAGCTGTGTAATCATTCTGAAAGGGGGGGGGGGGGGGGGGGGCCTCGCGACGGCGCCACCTAAGTTATTCATTAACCAGACCGATGATTCGCGTCGAGTTATATATAAAAAAAAATATTCGAATCCATGTTTTTGTTACTGAATAATATTTGTCGCGAAAACCTACGCGTTAAGCGAGCTTAATTATTTCCTCCCTTGCTCGGGGATCATATCTTTTGTCTCACACAGCTTAAGTTGTTTTGGTTTGGAAGTTGAAATGCGACTTATTTCCATTATGCCCAAGTTATGCTGAAACCGTGTTCACGATGTTTCATCGTGACCCGATCTCCCATGGAAATGTTATTTGCTTGCGTGGGCAATTTTTGCTGTTCGTGTTGCGGGGAGACAAAGACGGTTGTTTCCACGGTGGAAGCACCCGGCGCATGCGCTTATTTATTTATTTATTTGAAGGCGTGTGTTAATTTCCTTTGAGCCATTGCCCCAACCTTTATGGGTGTCATTTCCTGGCTTTGTGCCTGCGTGTGGAGATCCTCTCGGAAAGACAAAGACGGCCGTGTTGCTCGCTTCTCATGGGGTGTTGCGTTTGGTTAATTTTGAGAGGCCTTCTCCGCCCTTAGCTCCTCTAGGATATCCACTTTAATTCCGTACTTATTATTTGACTTCTTGTGATTATTTAATCTGATATCCCGGCTAGGAATTTTGTTTTGGAGCGACCCAAGCCATAATTATTCTTTGATGCTTCGGCCCGGCCACGTAGAAATTATTTACGGTAAATAATGTCCGTATTTAATTAACAATGATGGGTCGCGATTCTGGTGCAGACTGTAGTCTGATTTCCAATTGGAGTGAGGATAGATTCTGTTTGCTTAATCTTCATGG